CATGTCGCATTACGCATGTTGGCCGCCATTTTCCTAGCCAGTCAATGACATTTTCTGGCCAATAAAAACGCTGTACTGGCTGGCTGCTCCGCCTTCTGGCCAGTAAACTGCATATTTTTGCATAAAAAAACGAGGACACGTTGCACCGCTGAGTTGCCCTTCTGTTACTGATCTTTATTCTGTGCCCTTATTTTATATTGTGTGACATAGTCATTGGTATACGAGAATGATCTCACCTTCAAGAACATTTTCACAATCTTTTCAAGACATAACTTGTTTATATCACAAGATGGATTTACACCAGAAGACAACACAATATTTTCCTATAGCGACTTGACAATGGGCAAGCGGATAGACGAAAAAAGCAAATTGTATCCACAGGAATGTTTTGAATGACATCAGTCTTGTTAACTTCCTTTCAAAAACAAATCTCTGCTTTGTGTAAATTCCTAACACTATCCTGGCAAGGGGTAACAAGACCATCCCTTGTCTTGGCTGATATGAATTCGTTGCTAACTTCCTCTTCAGATACTATTAAACTTTGTAACAAAGCTTGAAGTTCAGGTTTTTCTTCCTCTGACTTTCCTTTACTTGCTTTATTTAATTTTGACATAACATAGCCTGCAATGTATGAAAGAGGTCCATGGGCGCTAGGCTGAATTTCGTAGTCTGCAGATTCCAATGTTTTTTCTCCCACTAAACCAACATTACAAAACCCAACTAAATGATCTGGAATATGGATCATAACTGGGTTAGCAACTCGTGAATCTTTGCAATTTAAAAGTGTTGATGAATTTAGCATCAATCCATAAAATGACTCAAGCAGTTCATGAAACTGTTCATTATGCTCAAAAGAGCTCTCGTCTTGCTCACTCATTGTCAAAAGCGGTGGAACAATATCATGTCTTCTACACGAAGTTTCCCCCGAATCTTCACTCTTTGAAGCATGTCCTTGCATTTGCTCTTCGAAATCCATAGCAATCACCTTTTAGCGGTTAAGTGATGAAATATATATCAAATTACAGAAAGCCTAATATTACAATTCACTATTGTTTACCCCTACACCATGCACACTAAAAGTCATGTGAGTTTTTTCCCGTTGATGCACAACATATTTGCCGCCCTGCTTTGAAGTTTGCCGGCTATCAAAACCATCCTATTTCTATTCACTGTGGTCTTGTGTACCTGACATGATGTATTTTTTACCCGAAGAATTTGGACACCATGAGTATATTCACCCAGTTTCCGCTGAAAAAATAACAGATGGGAAAAACAGATTAGAGGAATTAGATGGGGAAGGTGAAGAAAACACTGTGTTTGAAGAGTATTTTCATTATGTAATGGAACTGAACAATTTAAACCATTCAACATACATTGAAGAGGGAGGAGTCTTGTTCCAAATGTTAATTCAGTTTGCCTGTGGAAACTAATCAGCAACACAACAATTCATGCTTAAACCATGGTTAATAGAAGGAGACTGGTTAGGCTAGTCGGTGAACTTCAAAGGCTATGTGAAATTATGTTGAAATCCGACCAAAAATTTGTTGTGGGGTGTGATCCCTTCATGACACAAGGAGCATAAGATATAAACAATGGGCGATACACAGTAGTTTGCAAAATATAAGCGATTTTTTGAACCTGTTTTCCTGTTGAGAGAATATTTTTTAATAATTATGACAACCATCATGCTTCTATTGGACCTCCAATGAGATTTTATCCAGCAAGAAGCTCATATTACGGTATTTTACACTAAAACCCCCGAGGGTATTCGGTTTCCAATCGGTTATATTGGGTATTGGGTTTCCAACTCATTTGTATCGAAATATTGCATACGAATGGCACAATCAAGCGAAAGGGAGTCTGAAATATATTTAGAAGATCCAGAATATGATTTCTACAACTTAGAGGTCACTGTTGCTATTACTGAGGCCGAAGGAGAAGATATAGAAGACGAATTCAACGACCCTTTGAGCGAAATACATGGTGAGAAATCGTTTCCCTGAGCAAAATATGAAAAAGTTTGCAAGTCAAAAGGCGGCTAAATGAGACACACAAACACAAAGCACCACAACATCACAGCTGAGCAGACATCGCCATAATTAGATCTTTTCTTCCTCGATACAGTTGCGTCAATTGTGGAGTCCATTAAGTCCCAAATTGTTCGTGAAAAATTGTATGGCCCCAAAATGAACGACAGTGTGAAGACTTTGTTTGATGCACTTTTCCCGCTGTATGCAAAATTTTGCCAAAAGAAAAGCCAAGATCAATTGGTCGAGTCGTTTTTTTGCATTAATGCCACAGTCAACTCGATTGTTAAACTGCAAGGACTACAAAGCTGCGAACCTGATAATGATACACATTCCAGACCACCTTGTTGGTTTTTACAACATAAATTGTGGACGAACAGACCGTATGGAAATTATGGACCATTCAGAATATAAGTTATAATAAGTGAAGAATAACTTTAATGAAGTCATAATATTTTATATGTAGCCAAAATAATATATAAATTATTTATAAATTGGAATGATTTTATCCAATTGTGACCACACAAATATAATTGTCTGCCATTCATTAATTAGTTAGACAGATTAAAGTACAAATTGAATAATTGTTTTTTGTTGAACATAGTAACTTATATATACAAATACCATTTGAAGATGGTAAGATATAACTTGTAGCATGGCAAAAGGTCTGCTGCATGTGATATGTGTAAACTACAAATAGACCTAATAAAGCTCTCTCTGCTTTTCCTCGTGCACAGTAGACCATCTGCCACGTGGACTAGAACTCTGCAAATCAAATTTCTATACTAAGGTTGCTGATTGCATATCGGTTAAGCGGAATAGAATTAAAAAGGAATATAAGTGTAAATGAAAAACCTTAGTTTGAGATTGGGTATACAAAAAAGTTGGCATCATTCAGGCCATAGGGTTTGATGAGATGATTTCTTTTCCTGACATGTTCAGTCAGAGACCTGTGACATCTTCCTTCTCACTTTCCTCCAACGCAAGAGCGACCGACCGACTTAGGACTTGGGTTGCCAACCTCACTTTCATCTTGCTGTAGGACGTAAGAACAATGTGATCAAGAGAAACTTTGGTAAGGTGTGCAAAGCAAACTCTTGATCACTGTGGAACAGATCCGCGATGTGCCTGAATAGTAAGTGATGACCATTATTCCACATAAATTGACTGTGCGAACCTGATCCAGAGTTGTAGAGACAGTTCCAAGCAGTTTTTATGAGGTGACAAGCATCAGCGAAGAACCGCAATGTAGCAAAAATATTGTGAACCTTGTGAATGACATCAAGTTGCACGTCACTGACATACATTGCATGAAGGTCAAAGACCTTGCGATTCGGTGATGCTCTATCATTTACTGCAGCACATTAAATTATTCATGAATAGACCCTTTGTCCATATAAGCATTTAATAATGAGTCGCATAAAATGCAATACAAATACCGATATGTACTTGTTAAAATACTTTCTGGCTTGAAGTGAAGTTCGCAAATATAAATATTGCTTGCGTCAATTCGCTTCTTTAGTTCTGCAGTCAACTCTCGTGTTCGCAATATAATATTTAAGCATTCCTTTTGATTGAACTTTGATGCTGGGATCGCATCACATGACCCGTGAAAACAAGGTTGAATAACATATTTGGTCATGTGGTACGACTAGCCTAACCAGTCTCCTTCTATTAACCGTGCTTAAACAAATCCGTCATTAATTTATTGCACGATCATCCAGATTAAGATTTAAAAATTATTTCTGACGTTTTGGCTGCCTATCATCAATGACATATCACAGTTTTCAAATTTAAAGTTACCGTATATTAGTTTAATTTTATCTTGCGTCAAAATGACATGCGTGTGTTTGTGTGTTTATGGAATGTGAGCCTGCATTCATGCGCAATTAGTCCAGTGTATGTGGGATATTGCGGCAAATGTTGATGCCAGCTTTGTCATCCTGAAAACCATTAAATTCCATACAAGTAGCTCCCTCCTAATCAATGCTATGGTTTGTTTCCGTATGATGAACCGCAATTCTATTTGCTACGTCTTGTTTCTCTGTTGGTCACATAGCCGAAACATCCGAAATAATTTTAATCTGCATGATTCTACAATAAATTAATGGAAGAACCAGGATTCAAGCCCTTCAGTGAATATGAAACGTGTCACTCATTAGCTATTGGAAACCTTTAGCTAAAATTTTCACAAAGTTTTAGCTATTATACAAGCTATTCTACATTATTTCAACATTAATCGAAACCTTGGTTGAAAGGTTTCAAGATACACAATTCAAATATTACAATATTACAGGTACTGTTTCCACATTGAAAATCTTCTTCAGAATTAATATGAACAGGGATCTTCATGGTTATATCACAGGTTGAAACGGTTGGGCGACAGTGGCATCCGTCTTTGCATCCATGCACAAATTGGGAATCCTACAGGTGGCATGGTTTTCGATCCAGTCATCCATTTAATAAAATCTTTAATCTTAAGCCCATCGATTCCTGAAAGAAAACATTTCTAAGTATGTGATTGATAGGGCATTTGATTTGCAGTAAGCCACTATTTGGGGTGTATATTCTTCTATAATTCCCCCATCCTCGGGGGTAGAAAAGAATCAAACGGTTTTAGGGCCAGGGAAGAAAATCAAAGAAGAGCAAAAAAGAATGAAGGGTGGGAGGAAGAGAGAAAAATTAAACCTAGGCTCGTATAGGCGATACTTGAAAGCCTGTCGACAGAGACGACTTGTTGCCCGTCAGCAGAGAGAACGATATGCATATAATAATAATAATGAATACTTTGGAAAAACGCAGAGAGTACTTATCTCTCATAGAGTGCTATAAAACAGTTTTTGGCCTAAATGGTATAAACTTCGATGAAGTTTTTGAATATAAGAAATCGTGGAAAACCAGATCAAATCACAAATATACACTATATACCAAGTTTTCTAGAGTTAACTCTTATAAGTATTCTTTTTTTGTCAGAATAGTCACTGCATGAAACACTTTGCCTCTGAACGTCGTCGAAGCAAATAGTTTTCATAGTTTTAAGCAGGAACTCAAGCGCCACATGAATATTTACTAATTTGCTAATTTATTCATTTACTAATATGTTTATCTTAGTTTACTAATATACACTCATTAATGTACATACTATTAACACTTTTTATCTACTTACTAATCCTTTCTAAGGGGGTTCTTATACAGGGTTAACCTTCCGATCCTCCTGCAAGGACCTACCTCCTGTATATAGATCGTAGGTACCTTGATTAAATATTTTGATTGATTGATCATTGAAGAATATACACGCCTGCCTATTTATTGCTACTTTGACAATATCGGACAGTTTATCACTTGAGTGAAGATTTCCAAATTTGCACTTGCAGTAAATATCTAGGGCTCGGTAAAAGCACAATTAACAAGGAATTCTCAGTGACATGTAGTCTTGCTGTATAGTACATGTATATAACTACACATCTCCTTTCCTTAGTTTACTGATTAGTAGGCAGTGTTTGACCACTATTTTTGAGATGTACTTGAGAAGTATATAAAAGACATGTGGCCAAGTATATTGCTAATAAAATTCATTAGATTCTCATGAGTGGTGCCATATAGATTATGTCTATAAAAAACTTTTTATTTGCAGATATGAAGATATTGATCCTGTTCCTAGCTGCTGTTCCTGTTTCATAGCCTCAGGGAAGTAGCAGTTATGAGAACCCCAACCCCCATTAGGAAAATGTGTAAGTGTAGAGGGAAGGCAGGGGGATTAGTAGAGGTAGAGGGAAGTCCAACCACTAGGACCCAAGGTTTTGAAAGCTCACTGTCTAGCACCCCCACTAGGCCCCATAGTACATGACGGATATGGTGATTTTTCCCCTCACCGACATGTCCAGGATCCATTTCGATCAAGGTTTCACCAGAGGTATGAACTGTGAGCTGGAGTTCATTCGGATCTTTTTTACTAAGGGAATGCTTCAGGAGGTAGTTTCCCGGCCATACCAATACATATGCCCACATACAAATAATCAAAAAATCATCCCCATATACTAATAAAGAAGGGTCTTAGAGTCCACCAACCTTGAGGAGATTGAGAGGTTGATTGCAATAGAAATAATTTCTCGGTTTAGGTACAAAGTTTCTGAATCAGGAAGATTCTGTCACTGAAGACTACAGCAATAAACTGCACCAACAACTGTACCAAGAATAGAATAGAATAGAATAGAAACTTTATTTCACGAGGGGAAAACATATTAACCATAAAAGCTATCTAACATACGGCCCTCGCACTATTTTGATATTTACAGGCATAAAAAGTATTAAAGATTACGACTATTTACATTTGAGAAAAAAATAATTAGTAATGAATACAATTACAATTTAGTAAATATTTACAATTTATACAAAATAGATCTTCGATATGGTTAGTAAGGTTAAGCTTGTTAAGAAAGATTTTACAATTTTTTTTGTTGAGACAAAAACAGCAGCCGAAGATAATCTAGACAAGTACCCAATTATTTTACCAAGCTCTGGATCCTTACATGATAGCGCTATTAATATAGCATTGAGTAAACAGGGATTACAGTAACTGAAAACTAATAAGAAAACGCACCAGCAGTTGTCGACTCTGCTACTGCTGCACATACAAATTTCCTGAGTTGTTCAGTGCGCAGCTTCGTATAATCAACAATGGGTATCGTGCTTGTCATATTTTGATTTGAAGAAATAATTTGCATAACAGATCTGGAAAATTTCTCTCGAACAGAGAAATAATCTACAAAGCTTTTGAACACCAGTTCAAGACTAGGTGAACACAGGAATGAGGTGTATCGTTCTTCCAATATAGAAGTACACCTGGGACTTGCATACTTACATACCATTCTTCGAGCATACGTTTCAATGAATTCCTTGTACGATAATTAATTTTTCGTCTGGTGGATCAATTACTGAGAAATTCTACTTTCTTTCTCCTGGGCACATTATGTTGCCTTTCACCACCTCCTACTGTCTCTCCCATGCTGCCACCTTCCATGGTTTCATCAGACTCGGATTCACTTTCTGTTTGACTGCTTGATTCCAGGCCTGAAGGAGTGACAGTGCCGGT